AATATGCATGCATATGTATGTATAATATAATGTTATGCATTATAACATTGTAGATCTAATAATATTATAATATAATGCGTGCACACATGAGTACATTTTACAGGTATAACTACCCCTTGAGTAACGTTTTTGAGTTAGAACTAACACGAATATTCAGTTGTGTTGGAAACTTCATCCATCTAGCAGCACAACTTTACAACTGATTAATATCTGAATACCAAGTATATCACTATCCTGTTACCGTTCCATAAAGTTGTTTGGAAGTTGTTTTTGCAACTCACATGTTTAAGTAATTTTTTGAGTGGGTGTCCTAATTATTATTATCACGATAATGTAAGATTTTCCCGTCGTTGCTACGACGTCGACCAAAAAAAAAATGAGCTTACCTGATCCAGAGCACAAACATTTTCAGGAATGGTGCCACAAAACATATCAGTTCTTTTGAAGAAAAAGATTATTGGTAGTCAAGTAGCTCGTAAACTATGTTGAGGGCCAATTTCTCACTGTAAAAGTTTGCAAGGAATTAACTTTATCTTGCTTAAGTTGGTTTTTAACTTAAATGGTTGAACAATAATTTGTTTGGTTGATTATAGGCAGCTCAACAATTTTGCACATTTTCAGGTATGAGACCGTACATCTACATTATAATTCGTTAACTCTCAAATTTGCATTGTCGTGCCTTATTGAAAATTCAGAATGCTTCTGAAGCTATGGATCTATTCGTGGTAAAGACTACATCTTACGAGTTCCAATTACTATTGAAGGCACTTTTGACAATATTTTCTTGAACCTTGATAAAACAATGAAAACAATAACTAGAATAAAAAGTCCAAATTGGCAAACAACAGGTTCACAACTCACGTTAGGAGGTGGTTGGAGGGTGTGACTGGTGGGTCCTATTTTATTTTTTTCCTCCTGTTGGTTCTGTCTGTCTTTCTGACTTACTTTTCACCGGTATTAAATTAGCAGGTATAGAGTCGATGTTTTTCTTTTCACTAAAATATACAAACTCTTCGTGTTTGAAAAAGGTTAACAGTGCCCTTTTAAAACCTATAGTTCCAGTAGCCCCGCAAATACATTAAAAAAAAAAAAACATTATTAATCTTACTTCATACGCTGGCCGAGGCAGGAAATAAAAACACAAAAATTGTCCAGGAAAAAGTAAGCAAACGATGTCTTCTACTCTTTGGTCCCTGAAGTGCACTGTGTCGATCTTTTGTACAGCTATCCAAAATTATAAGGGTGGAAAAACTTTAACAAATATAAAGTCCTAATAGCTCCTGTGCTTAGAATTAAAATGTTCGTCTCAATATTGAGGATGGTTCGGGAGCCTGAGAGAAGAAAGCCAAAGTTGGATTTTTATATAAAATTTACATTCTGAAAAGTAAAAAAAATAATAGCATAGGGAAATGAAAATTCAGCAATAGTACGTTATATCGACCCTACCTCCGCCTCCTTTTTCTTGAATATTGTGGTAAAAACGTCTTCGCATTATTTTGACATCGCGTCGACCCAAATGAGGCCCCTCTCAGAATGGAGATTCAGTAGCACGTGAAATACGTACTGAGTGGAAGAGGGCTGAAGTTTACTTTTATCGAACATTGTATTGTTACCCACGTTTCACAGCAAGCCTTTGACTTCATATTAGCTTAGGGGAAGGAAGGGTAAAACTGGAAGACGGGATTGGATTTAAGGAGAAAAAAAAATAACTACCCCAAAATGTTTGATGGCAATAGGCACTTTTCAATCAGACCAGAGTCATCGGACCAAATCTGACACTCCCAATGATGTTTTTTGCTTTAGGATTGGGTTTTTTTCCTTACCCCTTCTCTCCCTGAAAGTCTCCAGAAAATGCCAAGCTTTCTGACTGATATCTAAACCATATGAGTAGCTAAGTGTTGTTTTACTTATACAGAGTGACTGATTTTTCGGAAGCATTCGTGTTGTTCATTGCTTCAATCTATTACCACTCTTGAATAAGTCTCCAATGCTTGTTTCGAGAACGACACCCCTTATCTTTTGAGTTTTTTTATTTGCCCTGTAATTTTCTTTTTTCATCTTGGTTGAATTAAAAAACCGAACTCGATTTTACTATTGTGTTGTCTCTTGTTTAGTTTCTCGGCATTTTTACAGAAAGGCGTAACAGAAAATGAGGGAATTA